GCTTTGAGTTTTGCCCCGATCCAATCCGAGAACCGATGTCTCACTCGGTTCGGCCCACGGGTCATGTAAATTCAACCCGACCCGAACCGTGCCCAGGCCTAGACATGGACATTCCACATCCCCTACTTAGAACAAGTTGACAGCATGACTATTGCATGCAGAATATAATATAATACCCATCCCAAGTTATTGTGTTTTGATAGCACAAAAACATATATATATAAAATATGAGAAGTGTATCGTATGAAAACACTGATTCCATAATACTTCGTACGCATAACCCATAACCCCTAAACCCTAAACTCTAACCCTTATCATTTTAAAACAATTTTAAAGTAAAAAGAAATAGTTAATTGGATGAGATGCGATGTGGCAGCGTCCCCTGCTGACACGTGGAAGTGGAAGGGATGCTGGGCTCTACTTGCGTTGACAAGTGTCACATTTGTTATATTTTAATCATATTTTCTTGTAAAATCGTTTAAAATATTAAAATAAATGGGAAAAATACAAAAAAATAAAATACATACGTATTTCTGAGCACCAATACTTCGTATCTCAAGTCCAAAAAGTGGTTTACAATTGTTTTAAAATTAATTTTGGGGGTCATCCCTAAATATGAATGATGCAAATCAAAACATAACTAAACTTTGTAAACCCTAAGTTATTGTTTGTTTGATCACATAAGGATTGGATCGACATTTCAATACAATGGTGAAATTTGATCTACATGATTGAAGGAAATGTCATACCAATCCGGACATAATTTTTTTGGAATTTCTTTGAATTATAATAGATTTTTAAATTTAATTTTGAAGTAAAAATGAATAATTAATTGGATGATATGCCGATTTTTGATATATTATCTACATTACATCCGATTTTTGATCAAGTCCTTATGTGATCAAAACACAATACCTTATGGTTTAAACGTATTTACAACAAAATTTGATTATAACTAGTTCTTAAAAATATTTCATAACACTTCAAAATTTATTAAAAATGGTATGGTTTAGGGGTTATATAGTAAGGGGTTAGGGTTAGGGTTAGGATTAGGGTTTAGGGTTTAGGGTTTAGGGTTTAGGGTTTAGGGTTTAGGTTTCATGAATTATTCGTAAAAAGTATTCTGAAATATGAATATTTCCTTCTCATATTATATATGTTTTAGGCTATCAAGAAAGAATAACTTTCTCATATATAATATGTTTTTATGCTATCAAGAAAGAATAACTTGGGGTGGGTATAGATTGTGCATGTGCACGTTGGAAAACCCAAGATTGTGCATGTGCACGTTGGAAAACCCAAGATTGTGCATGTGCACGTTGGAAAACCCAAGATTGTGCATGTGCACGTTGGAAAACCCAAGATTGTGCATGTGCACGTTGGAAAACCCAAGATTGTGCATGTGCACGTTGGAAAACCCAAGATTGTGCATGTGCACGTTGGAAAACCCAAGATTGTGCATGTGCACGTTGGAAAACCCAAGATTGTGCATGTGCACGTTGGAAAACCCAAGATTGTGCATGTGCACGTTGGAAAACCCAAGATTGTGCATGTGCACGTTGGAAAACCCAAGATTGTGCATGTGCACGTTGGAAAACCCAAGATTGTGCATGTGCACGTTGGAAAACCCAAGATTGTGCATGTGCACGTTGGAAAACCCAAGATTGTGCATGTGCACGTTGGAAAACCCAAGATTGTGCATGTGCACGTTGGAAAACCCAAGATTGTGCATGTGCACGTTGGAAAACCCAAGATTGTGCATGTGCACGTTGGAAAACCCAAGATTGTGCATGTGCACGTTGGAAAACCCAAGTTAATGCTTTAAATACTATATGTGGTTGATCAAGTCCTGATGTCATTGTCTCCATTCGGAACTGGTAAAGAAGAAAGAAACCGAAACCAACCCCAAAGCCACTACTAGGACACCCGGGGAACCAGTTTTGGGACTTATGGGGATCCACTTATGGGATTACCAGTGAAGGAACAAGTGCACCCCCAGCCGATCAGAAGTTCCCTTTTTGACTGAACATGTGCAACTCTGTTGTATTCTTATTTTGTTTAACTTTTGTATTTAAAGTATTTTTTTTCCCCTGTGTTTTATAGATTGGTCGAGACGTGCAATACATGCATTTCATTGTGGGGAATGTCGACTTCTTCAACCAACACTGAAAGAAAGAAAAGTCGGCGCGGTGCTAAGATGGTCATTTTGGCTCCTTATTATAATTATAATGAATTTAAAATAAAAAAATATTTTTGATTAGCTAAAATGGAGTGCGTTGCTAGTAAAATACAGTTTTTCAATATTTGTTCTATAAACAAAGGAGGCATAGCCCCAGCAAAAGATATTTTTTATACCCTCAGTGCAAATCAGAGGGGATCTGGTAATCCCAACAGAATCCTCTTCCAGTACCTAAACCATTCTTACCAACAAAATGAAAACATGAACTACCCAAATAGAGCTCTACCGAAATAGTTCAATAATTCCATCACCCACAATCACACCTATATACTGCAGCATCCCTGCAACAAGTCTATTGCAAGCTTTAATCGGAATAAATGGATGGCATCAGCACACAATTGCACCAACTTTACATTGGAGCTGAGAAATTCACAATATTTTAGGACAAATATCTCGCAGTCCCCCTTGAAAGTTAGCATGACACCGTAAAAAATTTACATTATCAATTTGCAAATAACATATGTAAATTTGTAGGTGGAAAGTTACTCACCCACCAACTTGTTGGGGAACATCAGTTACTCGATTCACTGGCCACTCAGTTGTTCGTAGAGGACAACCACCAACATATCCAGCTTCTTTTAACAACATAGGGATCAATTTCGCAACCGGCTGCAATGCTTTTATCAATGTTTGAGTTCTGCACAAATCTAATTTGGAATCGTACACAAATATTTCACAAGTGGTTAAATCTAAAGCGAGTGTCACCCAGTGCTTCTGCCTTACACAATTGTAAGGCAGAAAAACCTTCTTAACAGACATCCAAGGTTTACTCCACTTATGCAGCTCGCCGTTAACCATTTTCACTAGAGCTCTACTATGGGGCCTGTCGTCCTTTCCCCCATAAAGCCGCATATGCTTCAAATCTATTGCAGCATACTTCTACATAGCACCATATCAGTTATGCATCAATTTAGATACCAATTGAACCAAGTCATCATGCTTAATTATGAAAGAGTTATACCTGAAACAGAGTATCGACTATCGTCCAGTCCGAACCCACTAAATTTGGATACCTCTTCTGCCGCTCTCGTACCAGATACAATCCCATGTCAATGTTCTACACCAAAAGTGTTGTTTTCAATATTAACCTAATAAATCTCATATTATGGTGGAGTAATGGAGCTCTCTATACTTACCGTGTCATCCAACCATCCATTCTTGCTCAGAAGGCGAACAAAGAAGTCATGTGAAGTGTCTACACCTTCTTCTCCACATAATCTCACATGCGAACTGCAATTGTCAACAAATATTGCAATCAAATCAGATTCGCCAAGTTCGATAGGAGAAAAGGCAATCGGACTCACCAACAGGTCAATAAGTTGTCATAATACAATCTTTGAAATTCATTAAAGGCTAAAACCGGGATAACTTACTCCTTTTCTTGGCCCCATTCCCACAAGAATTTCGCCATCTTTAGAAGGGAATCATGAGGAATTGGCCTCAGGGGGTCAAAAGTAAAACCAACTGTGTCATCCTCAATATTGGGAAACTCCTGCCCTTGCCATGGAGTTTCTCTTAGCACAGATTTCGGCCTCTTCATGGCAGGCTAAACAGTCGTACCCCGTCCTCGAACCTTCTTCTTTTGGACAACAGTTACACCATCATCAACATCATTCTTATCTTCATCTGCTTCATCATCTTCAATTGAGATTTTCCTCTTTCGACAAGGGTTTTGAAGAAATGTAACTAGGGTCCGACAAACCAATGCATGATCATCCCAGTTTATCTCAGGGGGTATGTATTCCAGCTCTCCCTTATCATTTACAACAACATTTTCAGGCTGATGATCGTGACCCTCATTTCCACCTATAGAATCATCTTTTTCCATTGGGGTCACCTTTACAAAAGATGGCGGAACCACATTGCCACCTCCATCGCCTATAATTTTTCTCAATGCAACCAATTCTAACCTCATGACTTCCATTCCATGAGCGGTAGAGTCCTTGAAATGTACAAATTTCTCCCACTGCTCACTTTTCTCGTGATGCAATAATGCAATCTCATCCCTCAACTGCTGCACAACATGGTTTACTTCAGCAAGGTCCTTACTTAATTGAGGACCAATATTAGGTGCATCACCTTCAGGAAAATCTGATCCCCAACTCCAGTAATTTTGCTGCATCTCTCGTAGACTTGGTCGCAGCAGGCGCAACGAAAGAGGCTGTCACAAAAACATAGTTAACATGTTATGTACAATACACATAACAACATCACTCATCAAATAAAGATATTATTTGGTGAATACCTCTTTGCTCTGAAAAATGTACGCGTTCAGCTTTCTAAACTCGGGGTTTTTATCTGTAGATTCCCACCAGCAAATCTGAGGCACTAATTCAGCTTCATCCTTCCGCTTACAATATCTCAGGGGAGCCATTTCCAATTCATGAATTAATTCATAAGCCCAAATCTACACCAAATCATTTCCTGAGTCAATACTTATTTATGAACATAATTTTACAAAACATAAATTATTAACTAAACAATACCTGGAAAGCAAAACTCAATCCCTTTATACTCCACGCTGGTCTGTTAATTCTTATACGCTTCTCGTTCAGGCCCGGCCCTGAGCAGGGGCAAACAGTGCGATCGCCCTAGGCCCAAAATTTAGAGGGGCCCAAATTTTTATTTATTTATAGTAAGTATTATATTAGATTATTATAACTATTAACCCTAAACCAACGATGGTCTGTTCCACTCCTCAAAAAGAAGAACGCTTTTGTGCATCTATTCCACTCCTCTAGGTCGCTTTTCCTTCTTCTTCTTCTTCTTCTTGGAAATATCAAATTTGTTTCTGTGGACAGGGATTTCTCGAAGGGGGTTTCTCAAATTCCAGGTTATGTTGTTTTTTGTTTATTCTTTGAAGTATTAAAATTGCATTGGCTTTCCTTGTATATTGTTTATGTTTTCAAGTAACAATGTTCTCTAAGAAACACTCATCTGGAAGTCAAAAAAGAAAAAGAAAAAGACAGAGAGAAGAATTAACTCAATCTCAAAAGGGAGCTCTGGATAAATTTTTTCAAAACAAAACAAATAGTTCACTTGATAACTCAACTGAAGATTTAGTCAATGAATCTGAGCAGCAAAATCATGTTGAAGAATTTGTAGGAATTGATAATGATTTAGTCAATGAATCTGAACAACAAAATCATGTGGAAGAATTAGTAGGAACTGAGAATGATTTTAATGCACAGGTAGGTGACTTAGGTGAAGATGAACATGTTGAGAATGAAGATTTTGACCATCTTTGTAATAATGAAGACACTGAACCTGAGGGTGTAGAACCAAGTTTTCCTTTAAACATTTTTGATCCTAGAATTTGGGATAATCTAGATGAAAAAATGAGAGCTTTACTTGTGGAAAAAGGTCCTGCAAGAGATAATAATATCAAATTTCCCAAGGACGAAAGTTTTAGACATTTTTCCTCAACTTATTACTTGAGAAAGTTACCAAATGGGGAGACTCATGATAGAAAATGGCTAGTATACTCAAAGGAATTGGATAAGGTATTTTGTTTTTGTTGTAAGTTGTTTAAGACAATGTGTTGTAGAAGCCAATTAGCAAACGAAGGACTTAGAGATTGGAAACATCTTAGTGAGAGGCTTAAACAACATGAAAACAGCATTGAACACATAACTAACATGAGTTCTTGGATTGAATTACATAACAGATTGAAAAAAAATGAAACAATTGATAAAGGCATACAAGAACAAATTAGGAGAGAGAAGGAACACTGGAAACATGTTTTGGTAAGAATAATTTCTATTGTCAAATGTCTTGCTAAAAATAATATTGCATTCCGTGGAACAAAAGAGAGAATTTATGAAGAAAATAATGGTAATTTTTTAGGTATATTGGAAATGGTTGCAGAATTTGATCCAATAATGCGAGAACATTTTCGACGAATTCAAAATGATGAGATTCACTATCATTATCTAAGCCATAAGATTCAAAATGAGCTTATAGCTTTGCTGGCTTCAAAAGTCAGAAGTGCAATCATTGAGAAAATCAAACAAGCAAAATATTTTTCAGTGATACTTGATTGCACTCCTGATTCAAGTCACAAGGAACAAATGACTTTGATAATACGGTGTGTGGATGTGTCAAGGAGTCCAGTGAAAATAGAAGAGTACTTTTTAGAGTTTTTAATTGTGAAAGATACATCAGGATTAGGACTTTTTAATGAATTGCAATCTGTCCTAGAGTCTCTTGGTCTTAAAATTGATGATGTTAGAGGACAGGGTTATGATAATGGCTCTAATATGAAAGGAAAACATCAAGGTGTACAA